CATATATCCCAACTATTTTTTGATTGATAGTAGTTGATTGATGGATTGAAATTTCGAAAATTGCATACCCTATTTGTTATCTTTTAGTTTCATAGAAGCGCAGCGTGGAAACAACCAGTTGAAGTCCTCACACTCTAGTTGATCGATTTAGTTGGTTAACACTCAAGGGACTTGACATAGTGGTTATGCCTTAGAGATAAAGTTTTGGTACACGTTTTGTGGTGTTTTCTATGTTTACTTGACTTTTCTTTCTACTTTAATTCATAAAAGTTCTCATTGCATTCTCCACAATGATAAAGTACAAAACCCTGAAGGACTCTCTCTCCCCACAGTCATCCTCAACATAAAAAGGATATACCATGGTAATTTGGGAACATTTGTTAGGCAAGTGATTCTCATGAATTGCATTGTTACAGAAGTATGTATTTGAATTCATATTAGTTGTACTTTTTGCAGCATATGTATTGCTTGCATAATGATGTAGCGAAGAATTCTGACTCTCTACTGCTACTGCTACAGTTGCATTTTATTTTATTTTTAATTCAATGATTTTGATACATTAAATTGTTTCAGTGGTACATTAGAGATCAACTGCTCCAAGGATATTAAAATTCAAGGGATAATTGGACCATGCACATCTTTAGATAAGGTTGGTTCACTAAACTTTTACATATTATCAGTAGTGGGTATTTTTACCTAAAGTTGCCCAGTTAAGTTCAAGTTTGGGAACTTATTCCCCTGCAAAAGAAAAGTTAACTCTTTCAGTTACAGTTTTGACAGTTGATATTGATCATTTGGTGCTATGCAGAAAGGACCTGCTGTTTCCAGCACGGTCACCGGTGAGGGGAATACTACAGCTTGGAAGCTGTGTGGTCTCGACAAAAACACTTGCTTAACTGTTTTCTTTGATGTTTCATCTAGTGAGAAATCAGACCCTTCAGGCAATATAAATCCGCAATTGTACATACAGTTTCTCACGAGGTACTTGGAACCCTAGGAACATTCACCTCTATTTCTTTCTTATCCTTTACTGTTTTTTCTAATAAATATTTTAAGCTGAAATTTTGTTAATGGATTGGTTACACTGTTTTTCTTCTTGAACAACTCTAGATAGAGGAAAAGAAGAATTACTGTACATCTAAAATTTGCCGGCTTTGATGTAAATGCAGTTACCAGAGTCCTGATGGCCAAACAAAACTACGAGTCACCACCGTTACTAGAAGATGGGTTGATGCTGCTGTTAGTAATGAGGTGCGGCACTAAGAGTTTTGTGTTAGAAGTATCATTTGTTACATAATTAACTCCATTACTGTTCTCTTCTGTATAGCTCCAAACTCAAATGTATCTTTCCCCAAGCATAGAGTAATGTTACTTGTCTTTTAATTTTATTGCTGATTTCTGGTAATTTTTTGAGTTGTGCTTTGTGAGGCAGTTTTTTCCTAAAGGACAAAAGAAGAATTCGGTTAATTCCTCTGGCCCCACAAACAAGAAAACAGAGAAAGGAAACTTAAGAGATAGAGAGAGACCACATTATTCAGCCCATTTCAATATGAAATTGTTATGCTGAAAGAATCTTTTTATATTTATTTGAAGTCCTCTGAGGAGGGTTTCCTGCGAAGGGTACCTCGTCGAACAAGAATGTCCCGTTTGGATTTTGCTCTTGTTTCAAGTAGTTGAGGAATTGTATCTCATTGTTTGAGCTTTTTGGGGAGCATACGAGTGTTTGTTGATCCTGACACTGCAAGAAATCTGTTTTTTTCCAGGAATTGGTGCAAGGATTTGATCAAGAGACTGCTGCAGTTGTAGTGGCTAGATTAGCTTCTTACAAAATGGAGATGGAGGTACCTTTTCAAGACTGTTATTTATTTCTGCATAAATTTTTACAGTACTCAGGGGGTAAGCTTGTCATGCTTTAGTAAATAGTGAAGTAACAAGGTCAGTTGAGTATGCTTGAAGTAGGGAAGAATTAGTCCTTAAAACATGAATCGTGGTAAAATATTACATTCGCTTATCATCTTGTGCTTGAACTTTATAGTTTCCCACTTCTCATTTTTGTTTTTTTTTTATAAATCCTGGCTAACTGATTTCAGGAAGATTTTGATGCCACAAGGTGGCTAGATCGTAATCTCATTCGTCTGTGCTCCAAGTTTGGTGATTATCGGAAGGATGAACCCAGCTCATTCACTTTGAATCCCTCTTTTTCATTGTTTCCTCAATTCATGTTTCATTTACGGCGATCCCAGTTCTTACAAGTAATATAGCTCAGGATGTTCTTTCTTATCTCAGTGTCAATAACATAACAAATTGATGTCATGGATGTACATGTTCTCGTTTCTCACTTAAGTATGTGTGTCACAGGTGTTCAATAATAGTCCAGATGAGACAGCATATTTCCGCATGTTGCTCAATCGGGAGGGCATAAGCAATGCTGCTGTCATGATTCAGCCAACGCTAACAGCATTTTCATTCAATTCACTGCCTTTCCCTGCTTTGTTGGATGTGGCATCCATTGCAGCTGATCGCATTCTCTTGTTGGATGCTTATTTTAGTGTAGTTGTTTTCCATGGAATGACAATAGCTCAATGGAGAAATATGGGATACCAGGACCAGCCTGAGCACCAGGTATGTCTCACGTTTTTCTCTTATCTAGCGATATTCTTTTTAATTTTTTGTGGTAGCTTCAGTCTGCTGTTGCTTCATGATGAAAGAGGAAGACTCGGAAATCTCTTCATCCTCAAGCATGCAGAGTTTGTGCTGTACTAGCATGATGTATTTTCATAAGGTGCCTGTGAAACAAAAATATGTATTCTTTTTTCCCTTTCTCCTCTTTTCAGGCTTTTGCACAACTGTTGCAAGTTCCCCATGATGAGGCCCAAGCAATCATCCGTGAGAGGTTTCCTGTTCCAAGACTGGTAGTGTGTGATCAGCATGGCTCCCAGGTAAATGGTTATTTCTATTTAAATATTGTTGGCTTGTGAGCGCTAACATGCCTATTGAGAAGTAGGATCAATTGTAAGTTCGTCATTAGGGGATAACATCATTTCGCTCATGCTGGACAGGCAAGATTCCTTTTGGTAAAATTGAATCCATCTGCCACGTACAATAATGCAAATGAAATGGCAGCTGGATCAGACGTGATCTTTACAGATGATGTGAGCCTTCAAGTGTTCTTTGAGCATCTTCAGCGGCTAGCTGTGCAATCTTCTTGACCCAAGAAGAAAGATGGAGCTTTACTGTTAATGCTTGTCTCAATTATGTGAAAATCTCATTGAGTTTGCCTCATCTATCCTGCCAGCCTCTTGTCGGAAGTTCATAATTTTCTTCCTATCCTCCGTAAGATGAGAGGTCAGACCCAGATATTATATGGAAAACTAAGACTACATATGACATTCTTTCAGGTATGTGGAGGTACTTTTGCTTCCTATGAAAATAAATGGTAACTCGACTCATTGTTCTCTATAGTTTTATTAGAAGGGGGGGTATGTTTTAAGTCAAATGGCGTGTTTGCTCCCTCGGGCTGTTGAACGAGAAGATAGTTTATGTCGGCGACTTCCTTTTTTTGTTAGTTATTACCAGGCAAAGAGTTTGTGTCTGCTTTTGTATTGAATTCATAGTTGTAGTTTATTGGATTATGGCTTGTAGGATAGGAAGTTTTTGAAACCATTTGCTTATTTTGGATTTCATTCATAATTTAAGGTATATCTCATATACATCTGTAGACCACAATTTTGCTTCCTTTGTGTCATTTTAAGTATCTTGAAGCTTGTGTTGCACTTTTGCCCCTATTCTTTGTTGGTCTTGAATTTATGCCCTTCATAATAAGCAAATGCGAGGCATAAGTTTATATTTTCGTAACGTAAAATCTCACAAGTTATGCCTTTGCATGACTTCAGTTTCTAAAGAACTTATGCCCCACTAGGCTAAGGGGTAAAAATTTAAGATGAACTTATTTGAAGGGCAAAATGTTTTGATTTTATGATTTAACACACCTAAGATACTTGTGATTAAAGTCTATCAAGCTATTTATTATTTTCCCAATCATGTTTATTTTGCCCAGAATTATTTATCTTTTATCAGTACTAATCTCGATTGTTTATTACTAAGATTTAAATAGATGAAAAAAAATAATCTTAACTTTTTTTTTGTCTCTTCAAAAATCTAAATTCAAACTAGTGACTTATTATCATCACTAATCTCTAAACAAACAATTTTACTTATAAAACTATTAGGTGGAACCCAATAACTTACGTTGAATATAATGATTGACAATTTCTTAAATTTGTTAATTAATTTTATTTAGATACTCAAATTACGATATGATTCAATTGTATGTCTAAATACATGATGAATTTTGTATTAGATTTATTCTATTCAAATTTTAGAGAAGTTTTTACTTGTTTTTAAGTGTTCATTACGTAGATACATTAACTATATAAGATATGTCATTTACTTTTAATTATATAGTATATCACTAACATCAAATCCAATTGGAACATGCTCAAGATTTTATAGGCTTATTGACACTAACATGTATATTTTAAAAAAAAGGTGAGAATAATTTATCTATGTAATAAATGTTTAAAAACACACAAAAATATTTTTAAAAATTGAGTGGAAAGTGTCTAGCCCTTTGCAGGCCTCCTGCCCATCTGCTTCGGCTATTGTTCTAGAAATGGCTATAAGAGACTGCTAATATGAATACTTTATTATTTATATAATGATGTGCTTAATTGACATGGACTATACGTCGATTTATCTAAATGAAATTTATTAGTAAATATAAGTGTTATGTATATACAATAACAATAACAATTCTGTGAAGATCATAAGATATACAAAGATCATACTTTTATGACTAGAAAGTTCTTTTGCGATTGAGCTTCGATAATCATTCTCTTCGTTCAGGCTTAAGGCCGACAATGTAAACGAGCTAGTCAATGAAAACTCACCTTTATATAAATCCATTCTTTCCCATAAATATCCATTAGTGCCGTGTTTGTTTTCTCTAACATTAGTCAAATGAAGCAGCATCATTTCGTTATCATTTCTCTTACCGCCCAAGGCCATATAAATCCCACTCTCCAGCTCGCTAAAAACCTCTCACGCGCCGGTGCTCGCTGCACCTTCGTCACCACCGTCAATGGATTCCGCAAATTGAACAACCTTCCGTCCATCGACGGTTTATTCTACGCGTCTATCTCCGATGGCAACGACGACGGCGCAGCTAAAATGGACTTCGGCGATTACTTGAAACAGTTAAAGCGCGTGGGATCGGAAAATCTCAAAAAACTTATCGATGAACTTGCCGGCGACGGTCATCCAGTTACTTGCTTAGTCTACACATTTCTCTGGGCGTGGGTTGCAGAGGTGGCGCGTGAGATTAACTTGCCGTCTGCTTTTCTAGTTATTCAATCTGCTACTGCTTTTGCGATTTATCACCATTTGTTTAGCATCAATAACAATGGGGTTTACAGCTCTACTAGCGAAATTGAGCTCTCGTTCCCAATCAAATTACCAGAATTGCCCCTGTTTTCGCGCGATGACATTCCTTCCTTTTTACTGCAGAATGATCCTTACTCTTCTTTCATGATCCCTGTAATGAGAGAACACATACAAAACCTCGAACACGACCCTAATCCTCGTGTTCTCATCAACATTTTCGACAAATTAGAAGAGAAATCCTTGAAAATTCTCGATAAAATTGGGATCTGCTCAATTGGACCTTTGATTCCTTCTGCTTTTCTCGATGGAAATGAACTCGAAGACAAGTCTTTCGGATGCGATTTGTTTGAGAAATCTGAAACTTATTGCCAGTGGCTGGATTCAAAACCCGAAGGTTCGGTTGTTTATGTAGCATTTGGAAGCGTAGCAATGGTGAAAGAGGAACAGAAGGAAGAGGTTATGCAGAGTTTAATGGAAAGTGAAATGCCATTTTTATGGGTAATTAGATCTAGCAAAGAAGATGACAAGAAAAGAATGATGAAATTTATGGATTGAATGGAAAAGGGATGATTGTTCCTTGGTGTTCACAAATGGAGGTAATGTTTAAATTCTTCCTATCTCTTTGAATTCATATGGTAATAGTTTGATTGAGTGCGAAGTTTAAAAATGAATCAAAATTTAGTTTTTAAAAAAATATGTTATAATGTCAAACGAGAAGTTAGGGGAGTTCTGATGCAACAATAAAGTTATTTCCGTGTGATTTATAGGTTACATGTTCGAGCTGTAGAAGCGGTCCTTAATGCATTAGGGTAGATTGTCTATCGTACAACCTTTGAGTGCACCCTTCTCTCTCCAGACCCTACGTGAACGTTTAATACTTTGTGCATCGAGTTGTCCTTTATTGGATGAGAAGTTCAACTCAAATCTATTTGATGTTTAAAATAGTGGACTATTTGTTTAGAAAGGACTAATAAGAAAATCGTGTAATTCTTATAGGTACTTTTTCATAAGTCAATTGGGTGTTTCGTGAGCCATTGTGGATGGAATTCGACCCTAGAAAGCACGGTAGCTGGTGTGCCACTGATTGGAGTCCCACAGTTATCCGATCAAATGACGAACATCAAGATGGTGGAGGAGGTTTGGGGAACAGGAGTGAGAGCAAGAGTAGAAGAAGAAGGAGGAATTGTGAAAAGAGAAGAGTTAAAGAGGTGTTTGGAAGTTTTAATGGGAGATGGAGAGAAAGGAAATGAAATCAGAAGGAATGTGAAGAAATATAGAGATTTGGCTATGGAAGCTGTGAAAGTGGGAGGTTCTTCACATAATAATTTGAACGAGTTTTTAGAGAGTTTGTGAGGCATTTCGACCTCGGATTCGACTCGTGGAATTATACTGGATATGTTGTTAAAAATTCCCAAAAGACGGAGACAATGAAGAATTGGCCAAGACCCACAACGCCAATGAAGATTTGGAGTTCTTGGGTTGTAAGGCATTTCTATTTCTTGGACTGAATTGATTTCTGAATTTTGGTGCATAAAGAATTGGGTAATTTGTTGAAGTTATTAAGCTATTTATGTAATTTTGTTAAGTTATTTTAAATGTAAAATGATAGTTTATGAATAAATATTAAATTAGATTTTAACTTTTTCCAAATAGTACTAATATCTTAAGAGCTGTATGTACAAATAACTATTAAAATATGCATAAAAAATCAAAATAATATTAATAATAAATTTAGTGTATAACAAGATACAAAATAAATAGAACAACATATATTAATCCATATTGAAAAATAAGAAACTAAGTAATTCTACTATATAATAAAAGGAAGTTTATGCCCAAGTGTAATATATAATATTTAAGATTGGGAAAAGGTAGAGTAAATGATAAATTAAAATTATTGAATAATAAGTAAAGTCAAAATGAGAAAAAAAATATTAAGGTAACGACACAATTACACTATATAATACAATAGAATTATTTATCTTTTATCAGTACTAATCTCGATTGTTTATTACTAAGATTTAAATAGATGAAAAAAAATAATCTTAACTTTTTTTTTTTGTCTCTTCAAAAATCTAAATTCAAACTAGTGTCTTATTATCATCACTAATCTCTAAACAAACAATTTTACTTACAAAACTATTAGGTGGAACCCAATAACTTACGTTGAATATATTGATTGACAATTTCTTAAATTTGTTAATTAATTTTATTTAGATACTCAAATTACGATATGATTCAATTGTATATTTAAATACATGATGAATTTTGTATTAGATTTATTCTATTCAAATTTTAGAGAAGTTTTTACCAGTTTTTAAGTGTTCATTACATAGATACATTAACTATATAAGATATGTCATTTACTTTTAATTGTATAGTATATCACTAACATCAATCTCAATTGGAACATGCTCAAGATTTTATAGGCTTATTGACACTAACATGTATAGTTAAAAAAAAAGTGAGAATAACTTATCTATGTAATAAATGTTTAAAAACATTCACAAAAACATTTTTAAAAATTGAGTGGAAAGTGTCTAGCCCTTTGCATAAGAGACGGCTAATATGAATACTTTATTATTTATATGATGATGTGCTTAATTGACACGGATTATACGTCAATTTATCTAAATGAAATTTATTACTAAATATAAGTGTTATGTATATACAATAACAATAACAATTCTGTGAAGATCATAAGATAGACAAAGATCATACTTTTATGACTAGAAAAGTTGTTTTGCGATTGAGCTTCGACAATCATTCTTCAGGCTTGAGGCCGACAATGTAAACGAGCTAGTCGATGAAAACTCACCTTTATATAAATCCATTCTTTCCCATAAATATCCATTAGTGCCGTGTTTGTTTTCTCAAACATTAGTCAAATGAAGCAGCATCATTTCGTTATCATTTCTCTTCCCATCCAAGGCCATATAAATCCCACTCTCCAGCTCGCTAAAAACCTCTCACGCGCCGGTGCTCGCTGCACCTTCGTCACCACCGTCAATGGCTTCCGCAAATTGAACAACCTTCCATCCATTGACGGTTTATTCTACGCCTCTATCTCCGATGGAAACGACGACGGTGCAGCTAAAATGGACTTCGGTGATTACTTGAAACAGTTAAAGCGCGTGGGATCGGAAAATCTCAAAAAACTTATCGATGAACTTGCCGGCGACGGTCATCCAGTTACTTGCTTAGTCTACACATTTCTCTGGGCGTGGGTTGCAGAGGTGGCGCGTGAGATTAACTTGCCGTCTGCTTTTCTAGTTATTCAATCTGCTACTGCTTTTGCGATTTATCACCATTTGTTTAGCATCAATAACAATGGAGTTTACAGCTCTACTAGCGAAGTTGAGGTCGCGTTCCCAATCAAATTACCAGAATTCCCCCTGTTTTCGCGCGATGATATTCCTTCCTTTCTACTGCAGAATGATCCTTACTCTTCTTTCATGATCCCTGTAATGAGAGAACACATACAAAACCTCGAACACGACCCTAATCCTCGTGTTCTCATCAACACTTTTGACAAATTAGAAGAGAAATCCTTGAAAATTCTCGATAAAATTGGGATCTGCTCAATTGGACCTTTGATTCCTTCTGCTTTTCTCGATGGAAATGAACTCGAAGACAAGTCTTTCGGATGCGATTTGTTTGAGAAATCTGAAACTTATTGCCAGTGGCTGGATTCAAAACCCGAAGGTTCGGTTGTTTATGTAGCATTTGGAAGCGTAGCAATGGTGAAAGAGGAGCAGAAGGAAGAGGTTTTGCAGAGTTTAATGGAAAGTGAAATGCCATTTTTATGGGTAATTAGATCTAGCAAAGAAGATGACAAGAAAAAGAATGATGAAATTTATGGATTGAATGGAAAAGGGATGATTGTTCCTTGGTGTTCACAAATGGAGGTAATGTTTAAATTCTTCCTATCTCTTTGAATTCATATGGTAATAGTTTGATTGAGTGCGAAGTTTAAAAATGAATCAAAATTTAGTTTTTAAAAAAATATGTTATAATGTCAAACGAGAAGTTAGGGGAGTTCTGATGCAACAATAAAGTTATTTCCGTGTGATTTATAGGTTACATGTTCGAGCTGTAGAAGCGGTCCTTAATGCATTAGGGTAGATTGTCTATCGTACAACCTTTGAGTGCACCCTTCTCTCTCCAGACCCTACGTGAACGTTTAATACTTTGTGCATCGAGTTGTCCTTTATAGGATGAGAAGTTCAACTCAAATCTATTTGATGTTTAAAATAGTGGACTATTTGTTTAGAAAGGACTAATAAGAAAATCGTGTAATTCTTATAGGTACTTTTTCATAAGTCAATTGGGTGTTTCGTGAGTCATTGTGGATGGAATTCGACTCTAGAAAGCACAGTAGCTGGCGTACCGCTGATTGGAGTCCCACAGTTAGCCGATCAAACGATGAACATCAAGATGGTGGAGGAGGTTTGGGGAACAGGAGTGAGAGCAAGAGTAGAAGAAGAAGAAGGAGGAATTGTGAAAAGAGAAGAGTTAAAGAGGTGTTTGGAAGTTTTAATGGGAGATGGAGAGAAAGGAAATGAAATAAGAAGGAATGTGAAGAAATATAGAGATTTGGCTATGGAATCTGTGAAAGTGGGAGGTTCTTCACATAATAATTTGAACGAGTTTTTAGAGAGTTTGTGAGGCATTTCGACCTCGGACCCGACTTGTAGAATTATACTGGATATGTTGTTAAAAATTTCCAAAAGACGGATACAATGAAGAATTGGCCAAGACCCACAACGCGAATGAAGAGTTTCTTGGGTTGTAAGGCATTTCTAGTTCTTGGACTGAATTGATTTCTGAATTTTGGTGCATAAAGAATTGGGTAATTTGTTGAAGTTATTAAGCTATTTATGTAATTTTGTTAAGTTATTTTAAATGTTAAATGATAGTTTATGAATAAATATTAAATTAGATTTTAACTTTTTCCAAATAGTACTAATATCTTAAGAGCTGTATGTACAAATAACTATTAAAAATATGCATAAAAAATCTAAATAATATTAATAATAAATTTAGTGTATAACAAGATACAAAATAAATAGAACAACATATATTAATCCATATTGAAAAATAAGAAACTAACTGATACTACTAATAAGGATACGGCGCTAGCTCCTTGCCTTTCCCATGTAAAGTGTTGTAACATTTGATTATCTTACTGACCTTCTATTTCCATACCTTTTATTTAGGGTCATATACTTAGTAAGCTGAAATCATGATGTCCTGTCTAATCAACAATCACCTATTTAGTTCCTTTTTAGCTTAACTTTGCCTCTTTTAACTCTCACTACAATCAACCTTTCACATCTCCTTACTGATGTATCATGTATTTGTGCACCTTCTCTTCACATGCACGAACAATCACAATCTCATTTTCCTCATCTTGTCGGCCACTGAGGTCATTTCCACTTTAACTCGTATAACTTCATTCTTAATCATAACTCTCTTAGTATACCCACATTCCATCTAAACATCCTTATCTCCGCTCCATTCATCTTCTGAACGTGAAGTCTCTTGTCTGACCAACATTACCATACAACAGTGTTGATCTAATCACTTCTCTGCAAAAAAAAATAGCTTTAAGTCTTAATAACACATTGTTATCACATCGTAATTCAGACGCAAGCTTCCATTTCACCCACTTTGTCCATTACAATATGCAACATTCTCATCAATCTTTTCATCTCCTTGAATTATAGACTCAAAATATTTGAAACTTTTTCTCTTGAATATAACTTATGCATCAATCTTCACTTCCATCCCTGGGTTATGTTGCTGAGTTTTCATAAATTTAAAATGTGAGGCTACATTTGCAATTCTTTTTGGAAATAAGCCAAATTTTAAAAGTGGCTAGAAAAACAAATTGCATATTTGAAGCTATAAATTTCAACCTTCTCCAAAATTTACATAAATTGATTTTTAAAAAAAGGTTGAATTTGGAAATCGTCTCTTCTCCGATTTCCGTCTCCGGCGAAATCCAGTCGGAAGTTCCCTTCCTCTCTCATTACTACAATAAATCCTCAATGATTTTGAAGATCTACTTTTTTTGGTTCATTAATTTCCATCATAGATTGTATACTTAACACTTTGTTTGGATGGTTGTTATGTATTGTACTCTATCATTTTAACGAATATAATAGTTTGACAGATTGTATTGTACTTCGTGTTAGTAATGTCACACATTCATAATTTGAAGTAGAGTATAGTGTACAACTACTATGAAAAAGGTAGAGTAAATGATAAATTAAAATTATTGAATAATAAGTAAAGTTAAAATGAGAAAAAAATATTAAGGTAACGATGCGATTACACTATATAATACAATAAAATTTTAAAAAACAATCAAAACAAATATTATATTTAAACTAACAGTACAAATGAATGTGTAACAACCATCCAAATTCTTTTTTCACAAATTTGTAATGCATGTTTTAAAAAATGAAACTTGAGCTTTAACTCTATCTTAAAAGTTAGTATATATATATATATCTTAATTTTATATTATTTTCTTCTCTCACCAACTTAATTCCCTATATATGAGAATACATGTTTGAACCAAATTAATTAACATAACTGGTTTAG